TCTTCATCGCCGTAACAACCGCTTTCCTTTCAGGACGCCAACATCCCGTTCCCCCGGACCTCCGGAGCCCGGTTCTGTGGTACCGGCTGCCTGGTCTACTTCACCCGACCGATCACCATGCACCGCTCGGCCCCGCCCACAGAGCCCACACCCAGGTGAGGACCGGGCAGAACCAGCTGTCCGACTGGAAGGTCCTGATTGGACCGGGCCGCTTCTGTAAGGTGAGATCGGCTGGGAATCAGAACCACAAGGTCCAGATGTTGAGCGCCCCTCCTCTCTCCCTCAGGTCCCTGTCGGCGCTGTCCGCCTACCACAGCGGGGTTCTGACCCCGATGAAGATGCGCTCCGAGTCCCAGAACACGCTGCGGCTCTACAGCGGCAGCCCGACCCGGTCCGACAAGGACACTGTCTCCATCTCCTCCTTCTACTACAAGGAGCGGGTGAGACTCACACACACACACACACACACACACACACACACGCACACACGCACATGTTTGTGTTGCTATCTTTGTGGGGACTTTCCATTGACTTCCATTCATTTCTACAGCCTAAACCTGACCTTTACCCCTTTCCTAACCCTAACCAAAACTCAATTCATACCTTAGTCCTAACTCTGACCCCTGACCCAAAAACAGGGTTTCCCCTTGAGGGGACCAGGCTCCGGTCCCCACAATGTAGTATATGTCAGGAAAATCGTCCCCACAAGGTATTACAAACAAACGCGCACACACACACACAGTCACGCAGAGCGGTGGTCACAACCCAACAGAACCTGCAGTACCACTAACAGCCAGCAGGAGGCCCTGGAGTCAGGATGGAGCTTCTCCTTCAGAACCGGGCCCAGAAAGTTCTGGCTCTGAGAAAAATACCAGGTTCAATAGAGGAACCTGATGGAGTCCTGGAACAGAACTTCCTCATGGAATCAGAACCGACCCGTTTCTGTTCATCGGTACCAGAACATCGGAAGACAGCAGACAACACTGTCAGCACCACAGTCACGGACGGGTCCAGAACCCATCCAGAACCTCTGCCTCCGAAGCATGCAGGATCCACAGACCACAGTAACTGGGTCAGGGTAATCAACAGAACCTGAGAGCTGTGGTGGTTCTGTTGTTGGGTCGTCTGCAGAATTTTTTGCCGACTGGTACCTCTGGTTCTGTTTGGTCTGGTTCTGATTCTGACGGACCATCTGAGTCCAGATGAGCCAGTCTGCTCAGAACTCAGGGGCTGACCTAGCAGCTGCACTGGATCCGTCAGGTGGGCCGGACTCCAGAACTGGAGGTTAACCCTTGAGGGTAGAGCTGGTAACCGTGGTAACCACGCAGAGGAAGTGAAGGACCTTTTTCCTGATTGGCTTCTCTTTCTTCCCTTTGTGTTTTTTTCCTCTGTTGTTTTCCTCTCGACCAATCACTGTGGCCCTGCCTCCTTCCCGCTCTCCTCCAATCAGAAGCTTCCCATGTCCGCCTCCCGCCGCTGGTCTGTCCAAACCCTCCATGATTGGCCGGTACAGCTCTCTGCCCCGCCCTCCAGCGCTCAGCTTGTTCTAACCTGCATGACTCTGATTGGCTGCTTCTCCTCCACTAACGCACTGAACCGCACATCATCATCATCATCGTCATCATCATCACGTTCATCCTGACCTGTGTGTTGGGCTCTGGCCCGGTTCCGGCTCGGCGGCCGGTCACCGGGTCCAGATGGTTCTGTTTGCAGCTCAAACATCCCAACAGTTTTGAGGTCCAATGTTCTCATCAGAAGGGAAAACTTGTCGATGGTTCTGGATCAGAACCAAAATCCAACATCTTTTTTCTCACAACAATAAAAAGCTGTTTCCTCCAGGTTCTGTCCAGGTTCAGATACTGGACCTGGACAGAACCTTCAGCTCTTGGTTCTGCTGTCTTGGTACTAAACTTCCTGGGTGAACGTCAAACCCGACAGGGGTATGAATAATTTTGGGCTTGCCTGGATTTATTCCCAGTGATGATGCGATGCGCTGAGAGGTTTCCACCAGCGCCACCTGGTCCGGCCCGGTTCTTTTGTTAACAGGCTTTTCCATGGAGCGAACACAGAACCATCCAAAACCGGGTTTATGGTTCTGACCCATTTCCTTGAAGCATAATGCTTCCCCCGCCGTTCCTGGAGGTAGCGCTGGTGTTCCTCCAGAACCGGTCCATCACAGCACAGAGTGGTACCGGTCAGCAGGCTCCACCCACAGCTACATGCTGATGTGGACTGCTGCAAGACCCAGGATTCTGGTTCTGTTCCACAAGGAACCTACCAGACTGGACCCCGGTTCTGTTGTCCAGTTCGGACGGTCAGGAAGAGGCGGAGCTACTGGTTCCTAACTGGGAACCACTTCCTGTTGGACTGTTTCCAGCTGAAACAAGAAGAAACCATCAAACTGGACCACAAGGTGATTTCAACTGGGAAGTCTCTGTCTAACCAGTGACTGTTCGGTCCGGTTCGGTCCGGTTCTACCCCAGGTAGTGAGCTGTGTTCCTCGCTGGGCGGGTTAGGGTTAAGTACAGCTGGGTGTGCTGTGGTGGCGCAGTGGTTAA